CCTTCGCTGAAGCATTGCTTTCCTTCTCCAGGGGCTGCTATGCCATTGTGCACGTCCCTCAGCTCTTCTTGTGGAGGAGCAAAACAGGAGGAGCATGGAAATGAGATAGAGGTTTTCTTTTTTAATTCAAGTATGTAGGAGGCAGAGAGAGAGAGAGAGAGAGGGAAGAAAACAATTTGGGAAAGCCAATAACATTTGTAAAAGGAAAGGATGATGGTTGAGAAGACATCCTGGGCCTTCTATACTCTTTCCCATTCGTTTTCTCAGTGCAGGTATTTATATCACTCATCACCAATGCTCCTGAGCATCTCAGCATCCTTAATGCATCTATCCTCACAAGACCCCCATCATATAGTGCAATGCTATCATATCTCCAGTTTATGTCTGGGGAGCTGGGGTACAGAGAGATTAAGAAATTTGTCCAAACAAGTCTGTGACAGAACCAGGAGCTGAACCCAAGTCTTGTGATTCCCAGGGCAATACAGCCTTAATGAAAAGGCCAACTTTCCTTCCATCATCCTCTCCTCCCTCTCCCTTCTCATCCTCTTTGTTTATCTTCTGCCTTAAAACTTAGCCAGTGAAGTACGCAGGCTTTCTCTTGCCTACCTACTACCTGAGCTTTTTACATGTCTACAAATGGAGATAAGCATGAATGCAGTAAATTTTTCCCGTTTTCCCGTCTGAGTGAACAGTAAGCAATCACAAAATATCTGAATTGGTTTGTCATTCAATCGATCTATTTGTTTTCCTTAATGGATAATTCCTTGATGCAAATTGCTAGTGTTCACGTTTCTGAAATTCACATGATGCACTGTGCCAGGTAGAGACAGATGTCTCATGACCTTGTTTTCATCCCCTGACTAGGTTACTCATATCGCCACTCAGGACTGGGTGTGACATGTGGATTTAACAATCTACTTCTAATTGTGGTCCTAGCTTCTGGTGCCCAATCTAAACTCCAGCTTTTCCTGCTTATTCATGCAAGTAAAGTGCTTAAGGCTCATAAAAAGATACACAGAGACAGCCAAATCAAAGTTCACCTTCACATTCAGAGGCATGTGAATGGGATACTCCCCCCAGTGTTTGCTCATCTTCAGTACAGACATCTGAAGGACTCCAAATGGGCTGATTTGTCTAGTTAGGACTGTATAACCTGGACTTACTGCTTGTCCCCACTCTTCTGTATTTTACAGCACACATTGATTTTCCTTTCCATTTTTTATTTCTTTTCTTTATCACACCAAATAATCAGTGTGATGAAGGCTCTTTGTCAGTATTTCATTCCATTGCCAGGCAGCCAAACAGGGCACTGCTGCTTGTTCTTAGAGCCTTTGCTCACTTCTTGATTCTGCCAGCTACTCTCTGTATGTTGGGGCAGGTCAGATCACCCTCTCTCTGTCCTACATTCTTCCCATTTGTAAACAGAAGGTATTGTGCATACTAATTTCACAATGCTGTTGGAGGACTTGGAGCATAGCTCTTCTAAATGCCACTAAAAAAAGAGTCTGGGAAATACTTCCCTAGGCTCCATGCAATCAGGAGGGAGCCATCTTGTATACAGCTTGCATCCACTCAAAGTGGAGGAAACACTTAACTTTAACCAAGGAGACTTTGCCTCTAGTCCAAGATAACCCAGTGGCTTGCTGAGTAACCTTGTGGGAGTCACTTCACTTCTTTGGGAGGTGCCAGTTCATCCTTCTGTCAGCTGGGGTAATGGAACTTACCAAACTTTTCATTTTGCAATGAACTACAGAGTGACGTAGCAGCACTCTTATTGTTACACAGAATGTGCTTTGAGATCCAGGGCTGCAGCAGCTCAAGCACTACAAACTAGTATTAATACAAGTCAGATTTCATTTGGACTGACATCTGGAAAATGATCCAAGATGTTGCAGATGTCACAGGATAGAGATCTGTAATATCTAATTAAGCCAAGCATTTGCTGAGTGAGTAAAGCCAGATCAGTCAGAGGGCACAGCAAATTAGCTTGCAAAATGCTTAAGAGGCAGATGAAATCTGATCTGGATCCAAAACGCAGGCAGGGAAAGGAAGGTGCGTGAGTGTTCAGACTTGACATGATGTAGGGAAAGAATTGACTTATTGCTGCTCTTCCCTAACAGCAGTTGGCTCTCCAAGGGCTTGGTAGCTGATCCAAAACAAGTCCGCCAATTCCCATGTTACAAGCAAAGTGAGGAGGAGAGCCCTGGCTTCGTAACCCTAGAGGAGTGGCCCCTTAGCATGTTTAGCATGGGCAGAAGAAAAAGGCAGGTCATTTTCCAAAGACCTGGAAAAATTCAGGAATCCATCCTTAAGAAGCAGGAGGCAAGGGGAGACTGGAATTGGGCTTCTTTCACTTTGTTTGATATGTCAGGTGCTTTCAACCCTGGCTTTGACTGAGCAGAAAACACAAAAATGGTCTTTTCATGCCACTGTAGAGTGATTCAGTGTAAAACATCCTGAGGTACTTTGTGATGTTGTGAGGTTATCTTGTGGGAGGAAGCAGCTGGAATTTAAACCTGCTTTGGAGATGCACACCAGCAGAGAAAACGCATGTGACCACACCTAGTCGAGGTGCGTGTGTGAGGGGAGGTGGAGTGACAAGGGCAGAAGTTGCGAATGAAATCACAATTAAGAGAGTGAGCAAAGTGGCCTGGGCAAATAAATAGAAAGGAAATCCCTCCCTGAAGGAACAAGATAAGGAGGATGAAGGAAACAGCTGCTGTCTCTATGGAAATTAGGAACCATTTTATGAGGGTGGTACAAAAAAGGAACAAGAAACAATAGGCAAAGTCTACACCTATGCACTTCTAATCCAATCTCAGCATAATTCTGATTCACCTACCATCTCTTTCAGATGCACCCATCTTTACACTACTAATGGCTAAACGTGAAGAGTATTTGGTTACACTCTGGACCAAATACTCCTCACTTTTAGCCACTATCCCTCAGAAATAACAGTAACACTTCCAGGGCATTTTGCTACTTTGTTATTAGGGATTATGAGCTCGTCATTGGACCCTAAAAGTGGTGAGATGTCAGCTCATGCTGATTTAAGGTGTTAGTGGACTGTCCAGTGGCTGAGGGCTAATCGTGGAGGATGAACTGGTCTCTGAGGCCAGGTCTTCGCAGTAAATTTACCAGGCTTGCCAGTGGCAGTCTCAAGCATACCACACGGCTCTGTGCAAGTTTCCTCATAACTGGAAGAAGACTGTGTGGTAACTAAGTGGGCTGATTAGCATGTGGGTTGGTAGTGCGAATAATTCCTCCCAAAGCAGAGTAGTGCTCAGTGCTCGAGGCAGCTACTCCCAGGCATAGTAACTTTGGTGTGCTGCTATGGCCAGAGAGAAATGAGCTGCTGCCCATTATATGGGTTAAGTTGGAGAAAGAGGCAGATCCTTGAGGAAGTTTCAAGATGAGTTGAGTGTGAAGTTTCAAGATGAGATGAGTTAAGTGTGCGTTGTGACTGTTAAAGCAGGCCCCACTATGGCAGGTGGCAACAGAGTCTAAGGCAAGAAATGCAGGGGACAGGATTGGCCATGAGACCACAGAGCAAAGTGGCAATTCAGCTGCCAAGCTGTCAGGTTCAATTGTAGGACAGAGGAAAGGATGAAGGAGAAGTCTAGCAAGCAAAGTTGAATCTGCTCTGGCGGTTACCAATACCTACCTCTAACCAGTGTGAACAATGGCATAGGGCCCCTTAGAGGAATGGTGTTTTGATGTACTTGGCGGATATGGACAGAGGTGTGGAGACAGGTATAAATCAATTTAGCTTTACAAACTTTCATAGAACTATGCTAACTCCCTTCAACAGAAAGTGTAGCTTGAGTTCAAGGATCATAAGGAAATGAGTGTTTGGGGTCTGCCTCATACTCTGTGAACATCTGTCCATGCTATACAGCCAATACAGTTCAGTACAGTGTGTGTGGTAAGATCTGCTTAACAGCAGGTGGGAGGGGTGCAGACTGGGACTGAGGTGCAGATCTATGAAGAGAAACAACTGCAGGATGTATTGTCCTGTTGGAGTGTCCGGGGGAGTTATCTACATGCATCTACTGAAGGCCTGTCTATTGCCTGACTGCTCAGGGACATCATTGTCTCGCCCCCATGGGCGTGAACTCCACACTTAAAATGTATATTGCAGAATCAACAGTGAAGACATCAAACCCCTGCCATGTGGCAAACCACTGAGAAAGCCACCCAGATTTAACTCTCTGTACAGAAGATACAGTGGATATACTGCCCAAAACCTTTACATGCTAGAGAATGGAGATTTGTTGGTTTAAGTCAGACATTGGGATTAAATGCTGCTCTTAAAAATCTGAAGTGAAAATGAGGCATCTACTATATCCCCTACAGTAAAGCATAGCCAAGAACAAACCAGCAAATGAAAGAATGGCCATGTGCCCAGGCCTCTTTACAGCTCATCCGGAAGAGCTTAGAAATTGTCCTTGAAAATGCAGCTTGCGTGTGAACCACCAGCGCTTCTCAGCTTATTATCCCTGCTGTCATTATACGTGGCTGACTAGTATCTCTGGAGGAGCTCAAAAGGTGATCTTGAGGCAGACGTCTGCAAAACAACAGATACCCAACTGTGGAAGAACACAGCTGAGCACTGCTCCCTGACTGATTTTAAAAACAGGCAGCTAGGATCCATCTACTATGGTGTCTTGCCCTGATAGTGACCAGGACCAGATCCAATGAAATAAGTTACTGCTATCCACACCAAAGTGCACCTAATTTTACACAATACTGCTTGCCAGGGGGCAGAGTTCAGGCTAACCTCTGCTGACAATTATTTAGATCTTGGATTGATAGCCCTTGCAATTTTATCCTGCTAAGTACAAGTGCAGATGGAAATACATAACAAGGTTTAATCCCTTTTAGAAACATTTTAAGAATATGTGACTACTATCTTGTAAGGAAAAGGGCACTCATTTTCCTTGGAGAAGGATCTTGAAAACCAATTGCACTCAAATATTCCTTTGTAGTATCCATCTTACCTTCGGATAGTCCTTAACAAGGTGGACCGGGCTTCATTGTGGAAGGTGATGATGATACTGGTTGGTGGAAGATCTGGACGATAGTGCAAAGTAGTACATCTGAGTAGGATAAAAAGATACAGATATCACTAAATATGTGGATTTTGAAATAATTGCTTATTTAATAAAAACAAATAATAAAGGCACAGTGAAAAGGCAAATGGTGCACATGCAGTATTCACCAAGTACTAATAAACTAATGGCTTTCTTAGGTATTAATTTATGTCTGACCCAAAATTCCAGTGTCCCGTTTTGTGGGACAAAGCAACTGGGAATTCTGTGCTTCCTACTTTCAGATTTTTACCTGGGCTCTGGATCCCTACTGTGATTGGACCTCAGAAAGGGGTTCATCTTATAGTTACAATGCTCCACAAACCTGACCAGACATCAGGGCACAAACAGCTTTATACCATAAACACAAATATTATCATGCTATAGAGCCCATCCAAACCTTTGTGCTTTGGTGAGAATTCAGCCTTGACAAATGGGTCAGAGGAGAGAGACAGGTATGTAATAAAGTGGGGACATGCATATGAGAGGAAGCATTAGCTTCACTGGTCTCTCCATTGTTTCACAGACTGAGGCTCAGGACAGAGAGCTGCTCCATATGCAAGCTGGCCTCTTTCTGCTTGCCTGGAGCTTGAGGAAGTGCTTCCCAGATTTTATAGCTCTTTCAAAGTGGCATTCAGAAGAGCTATGCTGTAAATAAAGCCATGAGATAAAGCCATGAGTTCTGCATGAGGAAAGTAAGTAAATAATATTCCTCAGCTTCAGTACAATAATCAAACTCTAGGCTTCCTTAGCTCCCTCCATCTATGAACTGCAAAGTATATAGCTTGGATGCCATTTTGAAGTACAACCAAAATGCTAATGCCTCTCCCTTTCCCTTGGAAATTGTCAGCAGAAAGGCTCATTCTTTGCAGAATCATTCATGTATACAAATCTCAGTTTCTGAGGTGGGTGAGCCCAACCTATGCATATACATGTATACTAGGGCTGTGAAAAATGGCACCATTCTGTTTTGCCTTGAGTTTTGACGGTTCCATGGAACAGTATTTTGTCTCAAATTTCATTTTGAGTTGAAACAGCTGTTCCATTCCATTCCGTCGAAACAGAAAGGCTGTTTCAACGCTGTTTCCAGTTTTGCTGGGAATGGGAAGTCAGACCAGCTGGGCTGCTTCCCTGTCCCCCTCCCCTCCCCCCATGCTAGATCACGCCAGGGGTGGGAGGCAGCCCAGCAGGTCTGACTTCCCATTCCCAGCAAAACTCGGACCTCCCACCCCCAGCATGATGTAGTGTAGGGGACCGGGAAGCAGCCCAGCCGGTCTGCCTCGCCACCCCCTGCCAGATCTTAAACTGGGGATGGAAAGTCAGCCCAGCTGGACTGACTTCCCATTCCCCAGCCTGTGGTCGAAACATTTCAACTTTTGAAAAGTTTTGACCAGCTTCATTTTGTTTTGAGGCTATTTCGAGGGCCTTTGTTTCATTCTGATTTTGCTGTTTCGACCTCAAAACTGGTCGAAACAGTGTTGGAATGAAACAGCTGGAAAAATTTTGCATAGCCCTAATGTATACAGTGCATAAGGTTTCAGAGAAACCAAAGAGAACTGGGGAAACTGGGATTTCAATGATCATTTGAGAGACGGGTCACAGTGAGAAAGCAGAACAGGTGAAGTTCTGGGTTATTAGAACATGTTTCCTTGAGAGGAGACAAAGACGTCTTGTTAAAGTAGATACCCTGTCTTGAAGCGGACAGAACAAATCTTCATACAGCAGTATGATCTAGAAGATAGAGAACTGGATGAGGAGCCAGGAACCTTGATTCTATTCTTGGCTTGTAGAGCTCACATTCTGTGTGATCTTGGAAAAGACCCTTCACTTCCCTATGCCTTTTTTACTCTTCACACCTGTCTACTTCGTTCCTCCTTGGAATAGGGACTCCTCTGACTACTCTCTGCATAACATTTGGTGCAATGGGATCCCAGCTTCACAATGGAGGGAAATCTGGATGTTACTATAGTATAATAAATATATATATCCCCTCCTATTGTTTCATCAATACCTCAGAATCTCTTTGCTTCACAGTCACCTGTGTTAAAAAAATGACAATATACAAAGGACCACAAAAAAAAATATTCACCAGCTTACAGAAGTGACTGGTTGACCAGAAAATCCTCTTCCCAAAGATCACCCTGTACAACTGCCCTATCCCTCTCATTTCCTTCCTACATTATGCCCAGTCCCCCTGGTGTTTCACTCAGTCTGCAGAAGCCTTGTAGTCAGAACCCCAAGACTGCCTTGAATCACATCAAGTCTGGAAATAACCTGGCTCTTTCAAAGGGGAATGGTTTAAATAAGGCTCTTACATTGACTCATTTGTCAGAGAAACTCTGGCACTTGGTACTGATCCAACTCACACTAGCTAAGTGTCACGGCTTCTAGAGTTAGTCCTGACTGACATCAGTGTGAGGCCCTTTACACGTTGCTTTTGAGCTCTTTAAATGTTGATTGTGTTGGTGCTAGCTCCATTTGCAGCAGTTGCACCTTAGCCCTAAAAACCTTCTCTGACTGTTTCACCACCTGCACAACTCTGATTTGCTACTAGAGGGCTGGTGAGCAGGGTTCCAAGTAAGAGCAACAGCTGTGAGTTGCCACTACAGGGCTTGGCCGTGGTGACGTGTAGGGGGTGCACAGGGGTGCATGTGCACCCCCTGACAGGCCAATGCTCACTGCTTAGGCGATGGGCAGGGGGGTCAGGCAGAAATGCCAGTACCCCCCCTGCAAGCACTGGCCAATTGCTGCAACTACTCCCGGAAGCGGCTGTAGTGATTGGCCACAGGGATTGGCTATCGAGGAACACACACACCCCACCCCCCCGGGCAGCGGGACTGGTCATGGGGGGGGTGGAACCAGTCACCCAAGGGGCTGGGGAGCCAAGACAGGCTTCTGTCCCTGCTGTAGGTGAGGGGGAGGTGGGAGCAGTGAGGGAAGGTGCCTGTGGGGCAGCTATTGCTCCTGCCCTGGGAAGTAATCCTCAGCTCATGGGAATCTGATCCAGCTCCCTACCTTATTCCTCCTACACCTCCTCAACCCCACCCCAGGACCTGTCCATGTCCTGCAACCTGGGCAGCTGACATGTGCTCTGCAGGCTGTTTGTGCACAGGTTTGCATCCTGAGGGTGGGAAGGTCACACCCTGAGAGAAGGAAGTTGGCCTTGGTGCCAGAACTGCCCCCGGGCAGTAGAGTTCAGGGGGTGCAAAGTTTGTCCACACAGAACAGCACAGTGAAGGAGGGGACACTGCATCCTGGGATGCTGGAGAACTGCAACTTAGGTGGCTCATCTGTGAAGCATGGCCACACATTAATAGAACACAAGCTGTGTAACATGGATCAGAAAGACACTTGCCCTGGAGTGGAGTAACTTTAAGATGCCTAAAAGTGGGCTTAAAACTAGTTTCAGGTGTTATTGTGTGCACAATCCAGTGGTTAAGAGTTCCAGAGGTACCTAAAGTTCATGTGTAACAAGGCTCGGCATGTCATCAGGTTCAGGTCCCAAGCATAAGTGATGATGCCCATGTGAGGTCCTGTAAGAAGGTTCCTCTCAAGGCTTTCATTCAGTGAGTCATCTTAGTAGCTTTAGTCAACATCATGAGGAATCCTCACTCAGGAGGCTTGGAGACATAACAGGAGATGGGGGGCATTTGTTTTTTGTTTTTCTTTTCTTTTTTTTTTATGAAGTCAACCTATTGTGGCAATACTTACTCCACCTGGGAAAAAGGAATCACTGGTAGTTTATTCTCATGTTTAATTTATTCTAAAGTGGGGTTTTGCAACAATAAAACAGGTGAAGAGCGAAGAAATCTCAGAAGAGACCTCTGTCTACTTTTCCTTTAGCGGACTGAAATCCAGTGTACTTTTATCTATTGCCCCCGGCACTGTATGTGCAGAGACCAACAACACAAAATGTGACAGGAACAGAGAACATAGTGAAGAAGGATCAAATCTACAAAGTTCAGCTCCAGGGCTGAACTTGTCCAAAGTTCACAAATGTGCAGATGCAGAGGTATGGTTTTCTCCAACCCCTGGAAAAGGAAACACTTTACAAACCAGGTGCTCTGGTTCTGTCACTAGCTCCCATCCTTGACAATTGTCATTACTAAAAGAACAACAATATCACCCTATTTGCCTTTCTGCTCCGGTGATTGTTTCTAGCAGTGGCCAGCACCTGAGGCTTCAAAGGAAGATAAAAGATACCCACAATACCTTCTAACACATTCCATGATGCTGCACATACTACAAGTAAAAAATATCCTTCCAGACTCCCAAAAGCAATAAGCTTATGCCCTGAAATGAAGCTGGAGTCTAATTAACCTTATTATTATCCCCGTCTGCATTCCTACTGTGGTTACTAGCACACATAAAACTAGCAAGCCTAATTTTAAATCCAGCCACAGAATTTCTTTCACTGACTTCCAGAGGGAACTAATTCCATGGGTTAGCAACAAGGTAAATAAAGAACAGGTTCTAAATTGACTGTTTCTAAATATACTGTCCTTTAATTACATAACCTGGATAGGATAGAATAGGATGGAGGGACTGAGTAGTTTTCATTATGGACTTCTGGGAGTGTCTATATGAGATGCTTACTGCGTGGTAGCCTAATAATACTGTGCAGTAGCATATCATTCAAAAACCATGGTAATAAGCTACTTCATAGTATTATTACACTGCTGCGCAGTAATTGTCATGAAAAAAACCACGTGCTGGCGCTATCGCACGAGAAACGTAGTTACTGGGAATTCAGTTAGTACTTCATTAAGTTCTAAACTAAATGTGCAGTAACTAGGGCACATTAATGAATGTGTAGATGCACCCTCTGAGTATAGTATCTTCATTATGGTATTTCTCCTACCCAAATTAAAACATTAACAAACATTGCAGCTATTTTTGATCCAGGGCTGATGGAAGTATAGCTCCATATAATGCTCTGCTGATTTATACCAGCTGAGTATTCAGATATGCCTCTAACATCTTTGCTGCTCTCTTTTGACTCTCTTTGA